GGCGCCATCGAGGCCATGTTCACCGGAGATGGTTTGCCTATCAATGAGAAGAAACATTGTCAGTGCAAAGTATGGTAAACAAATACCAGAAATGGTAGACATACCAGAAAGCGGCACCAATTTGGTTACCCTATTCCATCAACCAATGGCTCCAAAGGTTAGACAATGAACTTCCTCCAAGTGACAATATCAACCAGGAACCAAAAAAGAAAAGAAAGGAGCAGTGATATCAACATCTCGCGCGGGGGTTAAGAGGTTGTTGGGGGGGAAGGCGAAGAGGATGGTGTGCTGATGAGGAGACATACGCATTGGCCGGTTTGGAGGTGAACCTAGAAAAACAACCCAAATAAAATCACACAACACGTTAGCAACCAATTTCACATTTCCCATTATCGTATGTTCCTATGATTGTTCGTTCTAAGAAGGTATGTCGCGAGCAGATGTATGTGTTTGACACAGAATTGGGCACCAAAAAAAGGGATGGAGTTGGGGAGGGGGAAGACAACAAGGGTGCTAAGACGCGTCAGAACGGCAGAGTGGAGGGTAATAACAACGTACGATTTCACGCATTGTTGGTTGTGGGAGTAGAGACGGAGGAGTGAAGAGAGCTGAGAGACAATATCAGAATGTCAAGCAGGCAGATGGGAGATGTATCTCGCAGTAGTAGTGGTCTTGGAGGTGGTGATGTGTGGTGGATGGAGTGGAAGCGGTGAGAAAATGAGAAACAGAAGAACAGGAGGAGAAACAAACAGTTGGGACGGGGGCTCTGTGTTGTTGCACTAGTCTCGGTTGGGACTAGCGTCGCTGTCTGAGCACCTCGTTGACATTCACACTAGTCCGGAAATGATGCTAGCGGTGTCCTAGTTGGGACTAGTGTGTCTCCAGGCCCCAAGCATCTGGGAATCCAGTTTCAGGTCTATATCTATGGGCATATTCACGATTATCAATGTCTTGGATGACCTCTAGGCAGTGCATTTGGTGGGCCTGTTGGGAAAGACAAAAATCTCAGTATGGATCCCATCAAACGGAGAGAGACAGGTTTCCCCACGAGAGGAGAACCCAGCATCTAACTGCCTACCAAGTTTTGATATCAGCCGTCGTCTGCCATTTTCAGCATCCTTTCCTTTGTACAGCTTTTCAGCTTGGAAATGTCTATTAATACGGGGGAGCCATGCAATTAGGTACTTGACATACCATACCTATGGCATAAATGGCTTGTCTGAATCCCTCGAGCTTTGGCCAAAACTCTTGCTTGCTCTCTGCAAATAATGTAATGTTACTTGTTTTATATGAAGGGGTTAAGGCTCAGCCTGAACTTTAAAGGATTGCTCTAGTGGTCACGGCTTTCCTGCCTCATGAGTGAAGTAGAGAGATCCAATCTACCAAAATATATTACGCCAGGAACTCTCTCCTGGAAAGCATTATCTAAACCCCACCAAAAAAATATTTCTAGAAATGTCACGTCTAGCTCAATGGGCATATATAAGAAGACAATTGGTCTAAGCAAGGCTCGGAACTGAATTCAATGTTGGTCTGAATCAAATAAAACCCCTACTTTGACAAAACGAATCAATTGCCAAAAGGCCTTCAAGGATCTAAGGAACTTCTGAATCATTTTTGTCAAGAGTGACTTGCTTTTCTCGTGGGTTCATGGTCAATCAATGCATGCAGAAATACGGTGCCCCTGCATCTTCAAAAAGGATATCGCGATATAACTATCAAACCCATTTACTCGTCTCAATGCCCTCTTAATTAATGATTATGTTGTCCCGCTCTACAATTTAACGAAACACTGCTTTGGGCACTCTCTTGGAATTCCTGGGTTTGCTTTTTCTCGATTACGCTCCACTGTTGAATAGAATAAGTGTGGTATAAAAATGTATATACTTATATACCCGGTTGTGGCCGTTCTCCTCCATTCTCGAGGGCCATTTATTGAAAGTTGAACTGGCCCGAGGGCTAATCGGCTCTGTAGATGAATCGCCCCATTTTCAGGGACAATTGCCCAGCGGGAGAGGCCTAAATATCTGCTTCTTCAAGTCAGGTAAATAGTGACCTCCCACTGAGAGTTGACGGGGGTTACAGGGCAAATGCGAATATGCGGGTGTTTGAAGGTAGGCTTGCCAGTTGTTCCATGAGTATACATGCAGTTCATATTCATCACAATATGGGCTATATTTATTAATTATTATTATTTCCCACAATATAAAGAGAATAAGTTGCTAGATTTATTGTTGTTCATTTTGGTTTCATAACTAGGTACCGATCCAGTTATACACAGAAGATCTTCTAATTTCAACACCATATATTTCATTGATTTCATCCCAATACTCCCTAACTTACTCTCAAATTTGAGAATAAAAGATATAATCGAAACACGCAGTTTTCCTCCCTGATCCCTATCCCCTACTCATTACTGACATACTTCACCTTCTGCAGTCCCTCAAACTCCTCCTTCAACGCTCTAACACTCACAAACCGATTCAACAGCCCGATGCTCCCCGCCTTATCATTCGTACCGGACGCCCTCGCCCCTCCAAACGGCTGTTGCCCTACCACAGCACCTGTACATTTACAATTGATATAAAAATTCCCCGCAGAGCTCCGCAGCACATCCTCCGCATACGACACTGCTGCGCGATCCTGCGCAAATACCGCGCCCGTAAGCGCATACGGACCAGTCGCGTCGATAGTTTTGCATATGGACTCAAACGCGCTGGCTCCACCAGCACCATCAACCGTATCATCGTACACAACGACGGCCAAAATGGGCCCGAAATATTCCGTGCTGAGAATCGGATGGGCCGTGTCCTTCGTCGCGTAGATTGTCGGGTGGATGAAATAGCCCGTCTCATCGCTGTAGCTGCCGCCGACCAGCAACTCGAGGCGGGAATCAGCATTCGCCTCGTCGATGGCGGACGAGAGCTTCTTAAACGCCGCCGCATGGATCACCGGGCCGATGAAGTTGGAGAAATCTTCCGGATCTCCGATTTTCAGCGCTTGTGTCTCCGCGACGAGCTGGCGGCGGAACTCGGCCCAGATGCTCGCGGGGACATATGCGCGCGAGCAAGCGCTGCATTTCTGGCCCTGGAATTCAAAGGCGGCGCGCACGGTGTTTCTTACTGCGTTGGGGATATCGGCACTGGAGTGGATGAGATGGAAGTTTTTCCCGCCTGTCTCGCCGACGATACGCGGGTATCCGATGTACTTGCCGTCTGCAACACCCTGGGCAATTTTACCGTACAGAGAGCGGAAGACGGCTGTGCTGCCTGTGTAATGCAGGGCAGCGAAGTGGGGGTGGTCGAGGACTGTCTTTGTAATTTGCTCGGCGTCGCCGGTGACGAATTGGATGACGCCATGGGGCAGGCCGGCTTCGACGAGGATGCTGTGGGTTAGGAAATTTGCTGCGACGGCGAATGGGGACGGTTTCCAGACCACTGCATTTCCCATGAGGGCAGGGGCGGCGGGAAGGTTGCCTCCGATCGCGGTGAAGTTGAATGGCGACACGGCATAGACGAAACCTTCCAGGGGCCGGTATTCAAGTCGGCTTCGAGATGGTAAGTGCTGTTAGATATTGCTGGGAGAAACTAACTTCATCGGAGTAAATTCGATCGACCAAGAAGAACACAGGAAAAGCAGGAAGGTAGCTTACTTCCAAACCCCAGGAGCATTATGAACAGGCTGTTGTGCATAGATCTCGGCAGCATATTGAACATTGAACCTATTCAGAGTTTGCACCAACATCAGCGTCTCATCTCCTCATCCAACGAAATATATATATAATCTTTAACCAATAGATGAAGAATGCAAATTTACCTCAAAAAATCACACAACTCCGCTGCAGCATCAATCTCCGCCTGCCATGCGTTCTTCCCTTGCCCAACCATCGTTGCAGCCATCAGCTCATACCGATACTTGGTACTGATGAGATGAGCAGCTTTCAGAAAAATCGCCGCCCGGTCTGCGAAGGGTAAGGTCTCCCACGATTTCTTGGCGGCCAGCGCTGTCTCAATGGCCGTGGTGACTTCTTGTGGGCCAGCTGCGTAGAACTTGGCGACGGGGTTGGTCTTGTAGGCGGATGGGTTGAGTTGAGTCTGCAGTTCGGAGGATGTGGTTACCTGTAAGGCGGAGAGAAAAGGTATGATTATTGCGGGGTACCTTTTTTATGGCATTTGCATAGAAAAGTAGTTACGGCGTTGAGGGAGAATGGCGACTTTTCATTTTTTCATAGTTTCCCATTTTTGAAAGAAGAAAAAACAATGAAATAGATGTAACATACCTGCTTCCCGTTGATAACAAGCGGAATCTCTAACGGAGCCTGCTTCTTGAACGCCGCAATTGCACTCGCGAGCTTTTCCCGCTCTGGGGAGCCTTTGGCGTAATTTTGCTATTTGTAGGAGTATCCCGCCTCCATCAACGGGCAAGAAGTTAGATAGCTATTTCCACGATCCGCGTCTTAAGTTTGATTTAATCGTTCACCGTCCCCCGGATACGCATTCTTCCCAGGGTCACTCTCATCCCAAGCAAGGTTCTAATGAGCATACTCGAAACTCACAGTTGGTTCATTCTGCACCGCGGGAGGCTTAAAGGTGGCTAAAGCTGCCATGGTTTCTTCGCTTGTAGTATGATGAGATTGCCGTTGTCCGTTCGATTTAGATGGAATTCGTCAGAGAGGGTGGTGGTGGTTCTTCTGTCCCTTCCAGCGATTTTGTGAAGATGTATATCCTATTGGCACTTGGTGACACCATGATTCTGAAAAAGAGGGGAAATGAGTGGAGCAATAGTTAACTACCTAGCTTTAGGTGGTCCATTATATCAGTTTCTACAAGGATCCCTTGATCTTATAACTTTTTTGCACAGGACGGATCTGGGTGGGTGCGGCTAACCCCGGATAGCTGGTGGTGATGGTCCACTTAAGGTTATCCGATCATTGGAAGCTGTGGGGTAGAAACCTAAAATCGGCAACGCTAACAACACATGCATTCTTTGTACGGAGTAGGAATAAGCATCATTTTCTCATAACTAGCAGCACAAAACGTTAAATAATCTTCGTTGCCATTTCAGGAAAGCTTTTTGCATAGCGTCATGGAGAGATGGTCGTTCTGCGGAAATGCAGAATCGAAAGAAGGAACATATTCAGTACCTTTAAAAGAATGAAATGCATCTAACGCCTGCCAAAACCCTAACGCATTCCAATTTTTGCTCTAGCCCTCCTTCAATTGAAACATACCATGGCCTTTGGGAGTGGGGATGACCTCTCCTTCGAACTAAACCGTATAATAGACATATATCTATTTGAAAAGGAACGGACATTTGCCAGTTCGCTCTGTATGTAACCGCTCCATTGTCTTCCTAACCTGGTCGTGCCCCTTCCCTTCAAAATTCTTTGGTCCGACATCTGGGATATAGTATCCGTTTGGGCAATGATTGGGATCATCGCCAGGAAGTGGCATCCCGCAAAGCCATGCGAACCAAGCACGAGGTCCCCACCGATTCATGAAAGTTGGTCGGATGTAGAAGGGAGCACCTTCCCAGTTAAGTATGTTATAGCGAGCTTCCGCGCTGGTACCTGGAGCGACGCGGCGGAGCCGCATGAACTTCGGACGGGGGAGGGAGAGATAACGGAGAAACCATGCTCGGAGCTTGAAAATTGAGCCAAATGCCACTCTGTAGAGCACGTGTGGCTTTTCGTACCTGCATATCGTGTGAGAGTAATGGCCAGTGCGCATTTTCTGCAAAATTAAACGGAATATAAAAGAAAACACTCACATCATTGCCTCACGCAGACGGTCATCCATCAAGAAAAACAGCATCTTCCGAGCCATCGGTCTCACGAGAAGAGGGTAATCCCACAGGAGAACTGCGGTAGTCTGATCTGCATTCCTCTTGTTCCACTCGCTGGGGACCATTGTCCTCCGCTCGTAATCCTCGCTCCACATTCTGAGCTCTTCCGAAAATTGGATACCATCCTTGAACCCTACCTTGGATGATGGTAGATTCTCGAAGCTAATCTCCATGGCATCGCCTACACTCTTCCAGAAAGTGCCAAGGGCGCACACTTCCAACTCTGAAGCCTTGCGCCATTCGTATCTGTTAATCCACCTGATTGGCTCTAGTGTGAAAAGACTGAGAGTAAAGAGCATGTCATCATCGAGGATTTTCCCACACATTCTGTATCCGTTGTGAAGATAGTTCATGCGGGCAATCGCAGCTTTGGCGCGCTCCGAAGTAGGGGAGTTGCCCACGAATTCTGAAATTAGCACAGAGGTGTCTGCATAACGTTTCATCGAGAACTCTGGTTTCGCGAACTGGCCTGTTTGTACAAGGGTTTTGGAGATGGTGGGGATTCCATAGGTCTATTGTCATAACGTAGTAGAGGGCACCCAGGTTATTTTGGTCAGTTAGACAATTTAAAGGAGGGCGATGGCTAGAGAGTTCTGCATCCAACGCAACATGTTGAAGACATTGGACGTACCCTAAACAAAGCGAATTGTAACGCTTTAAGATAGGTGAATGGGAACTCCATTTGGCTAAGATCCAGGAGGATTCTCCACGCATCATCATTGCTCATCGTGGCCATCGACTCTCGAGTTGGATAATTTAATTTTTTCCCGGCTTTCTTGACTCTTCTGTTGCGGAACACCGCTACCGCAACCAGATAGACCACTAGCCCCAGGATAGGGATGGGGACCCATGCCTTGACAGTTCTGAGCGGTGTCTGGGCCACGGAGAATATGGGGAAGGAATCCATGGCGGAGGACATGGCGGAGGACATGGCGGCTCAGTTGGTGTCGAAATTGTGACTGGACAGCAGTTTGGAAGAGAAGAATTGAGAGAGATCAGTTCCTCTTCGTGTTATTTAAAAGACAGAAATCGAGGAACTGATGGGGAGGAGAACGAAGTTGCCAGGGTGTAGAGACCCACAAGGCCAGCTCATCCTAGCATTATGTGTGGGCAAGGATGCGAACCACTACGGAGTAGTTATTTTACAACAAACTACGAGTGTGCAGCCACGACAAGCGCTTTGTTGTAGGACTAAGGGTTTGGATTGATCCCAGCGGTCAACATCGTCCCTTAGCTCAACATATCCATGTTCCACTTCGCAGACATCCCGGACTCCGCACTCCCACTCCAAGGGGGGTGTCCAGGTGCTCGTGTAAAGAGTTTGGACTCTCACTAAGAACCTAAACTGAGGTTTCATTTCGGATCTTATGCCTGTGGAATTGGGCAATGTGAGTGAGCTAGTTAGCAAGCTACCATTAATTGCCCCTAAAGCCCTCTGAAGTCTCTTGAATGAAGAGATTAAATGGCAATGCTTGATGCCGTCATAAGTACTCCGTATTTCAGTAAAAATTCAAGTTCGGGAGTCAAAACTTTTCACAGCGCTGTCTGTTCAGAGTACTACAGCGTAGGAGTGAGTAGTTACAGATTAGTGGTTGAGGCGGGGTTGACCAACAAAATTTCGGGTGCATACATTCATTCCACCACTAAAAGTATCAACGCTGGCCACAAATTTCAATCCCTTTCTCCCCGAGCTTGACCGAGTGGGCTTCGCGGGGTAGTTGTTTTGGTTTTTATTCCTTTTTTTCCTTTAACGTAATCAACCACCTAACGATCGTTTCCACCCAACGCTCGCCTTTGTAAATCAATTACAGTCAACTTCAAATGTTATTATCTCAATGAATATTCATTATTTTTAATTTTTAATTTGTAATTTATAAATATCAAGATTTATATTATAATATAATTCAAAATTATTATAATATAGTTAAAATTAATTAAAATATAGATTCAATTATAAAATAAAATACAGTGAAATAAAATATATAATATTTGATTATAAATTAAGAAATATATATTATATATTATTAAAAATTATAATTCTTATATAAATATATTATAATTTAATAAATATTAAATTATTTTATATAAAAATTCTATATTTTAATTTTTAAGAATTTTTTTATTTTGTTATTATAATTTTTTTTATAAATTACAAGTAAAATATTGAAAATTCTTGAAATTTTAAATTTTAAAAAATAATTTATTAAATATAAATATCTCTTATAGAAAAACCAACTTTTTCTGTGAAAAAAATACTGTAATGTGACCTCATGTGATATCACGTGCACCCCATCAAATCCATGAATGGATTGAACTTATCTCAGCATGCTCAGCCTCTCTTCTCGATATTTTCGGATTAGCGCGACCAACTAAACTCCTTTAGACTTCTGCCAAGTCCTGCTAACTTCTGGACCAATAAGAGACTTCACACGTGCTCGCAACCTAATATCTCGTAGAGAGTCTGAGAAGAAACGGTTCCATCGTGTGTGGAAAATCAACACCGCCCATACAAAATATTCGATTGACTTCGAAATCATACATCTACCCTAAATATCTGCCTGATCATCACCAAACCGATATTTTTCAAATCCTCAGCCATTCTGCTATCATCTCTGCTATTTTACAACTCACTACCCCTTCTCATCATGTCACAATCGTTGACAAAAGACAGCGTGTCTTTTGAATCTCAAGACACCCAATGTCAGACGCGCTCCAGCCAATATCCTTCATCACTCGAAGATGAATCCTCTCTACAACCACTACAGTCTCCCAACAATGTAGATGATGAATATGACACATCAGACAGTGACTTAACAGAGCTTGAATCTATTGATACTCCTTCGGAATTCGAGGTCACCGATACTGATACCGATACCCCGCGAGCTTGTTCACGATCAAACCGCCGTGGCCCACAGCACCTGCCTACAATGCCTTATAACCGGCAGAAAAGACGGTCAAAATTATCTCGCGTTGTCAGAACATTACAGCGAAACAGTTGGGGAATGGAGGCCTTTATAGAGGCTTGGATTCAGAGTCCCGATATCTTGACTCATCGACGATACAGTACTCCTACGAAGCGGCGAAATGCACTATATTCAGCACTTTCCAAAGCAGGGGTATTCAATGATAATCAACGTTATACTGTCTTGCTTAAACAGGAGCTGAAATGCCTTATCAATACTCCCTTCTTTGCAAAATTCAATCACGATTCTGATCTGGATACCATTGACTTAGGTTTCATGAACTCCTCGAAGCGAATATTCTGATCCACTTCAGACACTCGAGATGTGAAATGCTGAATGGTGTCATTGATGAAAGAGGTGTCAGTATTGTTGACATTCTGCCTGTTATTCTGACAGATCTGAAGAAGTATTGATCGGAAATATTGCACTGCTTGTTGAACCTTGACATGACTGTCAATAAAGACAATGGTCTTTAAAATGTGTTGAGGTATGATCTTTCCATCTGTATCAATGGCCTCGTTCAATAAAAAATATAACATATCATAGGATACAAGTTTACCGCGTGGAATCGGATGTACGCCGATAAAGATATCAGGACGGTTAATGGAAGTTCGAATAACCTGAGTCTGCCGTGGGTTTACACCAATAGAACGAAATCCAGCCTCTTGAAGAATGATATCTTCAGCTTTACTGCTGAGGGTTGCGGAACAGCCAAACCAGACAATATCCTCACGAAGAAGCAATCTCAGGTGCCCCAGCCTGGCAAACTGACTACGGAATTGACTCCACTGTGTGACAAGATGACACTCATCGATAGCTACAAGCCCAATCTTTTCTTGTAAAGTAGGGTCTTGAAGAACATGCTGAAATCGCTTGCAAAGAGCTTGCTCTGGACTGAGCAGTATATGTGTATACTCACCTTGTTGAATGCGTTTGAGTAAGTCTTCTTGCCCCTGGAGATTATCAGCACTGACCAGACAAGGATTGGCACCGGGAAACCGTGCTATATCTCTTGTTTGCTGATCACCAAGCTTGTTTAGAGGAACCAGTTGAATGGTTATCTTTCCTGTCAGAATTGTATAGGATTGAAGAATAAGGCTCTTTCCATAGCCAGTTCTGGCAATGAATAAAGTGTCGCTATATCCATATATCATGCGCCGAAGTATACGGACTTGTTCTATGCGTGGCTGAAGAGTACACTCAGGATCTGGACGCGGGCCTTGAAGTATTCGTTGAAGACAATACTGAATAACATCCTGTTGCTTGTCGATACTATCTGGTCCGGCATAGCTCATGACAAGTTGTGGCATATCTTCAATGTTCATTGAAAGTATTTGCTTTAATGATGGCTTTTGAAGCCGCTGTTGTAGCTGACTTGCGCGTTTTCTTCGATCCCCCTTGGCCATATTTGATGCAGTTGATGGGACGTTGTCCGACCCAGCTGTCAAAAAGAAGTGTTATGTGATTGGTTCAGAAGTTGTCGGAAGATCCCAGAAGTTGTCAGGAGTTCAGAGATGTTGTCAGAAGTTGATGTGCCGCGTGAGGTTGCCAAGAGTTCAGAAGTTGTCAGAAGTTGCCAGAAGTTGCCGGAAGTCGCTGGAAAATACACTCGGTGCTTTGACTAGAGTCTCTGATGGCTGGATAGATGTTTTGATGGCAAGATCAAGGCGTTGGATGACTAGACATGATCATGGTTGAAAAATTAGCAAATCGTTCCCGTGTTCAAAATCATAGTAGCAGTTTTCGACGCGACACTTCATACTCAGAATATATGTATTTTCAGATAAAAATTACATCAATCGACAGGAAATTGAAAAATTAACCCTCCAAGGTGGTAGAGAAATGATCTATGAGTGATGTTGCACAGTGATTCTATCTCAAACATTATGGTTGGAGCAAATCGTTCCCGTGTTGCTAACAAACAGGAACCGTTTTTTCTCAGACGCTCCGCGAAGAGTTTGCTGGGGATGTCCCATTTAGGTTTAGTGTAAGCCCCGTGACAGTTGATTGGCTCAGATGTTAGCAGGACTTGGCAGAAAGTAGCAGTAGTTCGGATTGGGTTAGCTCGGAGTGGAGTGGCTGAGTTTACTGAGATAAGCTACTGCAAGTTATGCGCAATTTGTCACATGTGTATTGGATCAGATATCATATTGCCTCGATTGGGCCGTTGGTAAAGCAAATCTCCCCATGGACCCTGGATTTCAACATCTCCTAATCGAATGCGGATTTGTGGCGTATGGCGAGATGGGTTTCTAGATTGGGATGAACAGCTTATTCTATGTCTAGATATGCACGGACGGCTCGACCAAATCACATCGACAGAGTCGAGATCCATGTATTCTGGAGAGCGACAGCCATCTCAGTGTTGGCAGAATGGCTAATAAGGAGGCACGATTCCCCCGAAATCCTGAGGCTATGAACAGACATTCAAGACACTCACAGGCCTCACCAAACCAGTTCCCCAGACCAGGTTCCAACACTTCCTTATCCATCAACTACCCCAATGCCTCAAGCAATGAAGCTCAATGACAAGGCTCCTGCTAATACTCCGTCGGCCCAAACACCTCCATACAACCCCATCGATGGAAGTCCCCAGCAGAGCGTGACAACAGGAGATGGGTATCAGCAATCTGAAGCGAGAGAACTCGAAGAAGCTCTTCGCGAAGCCAGGGCGGATTCCACCATCTTCACATCCAATCCCTCGGAAGACACTGCAGGTGGGTGTGCCAGCCCTAAGCAAGATGATAAAAAGATTGTTGGGGAACTAGGTAATTGATATTTCAACTAGATACTGGGAGCAAATGCTGATGTGTGTTCAGAGACTGTGTTGAATAATGCTTCTAAGTTGAAGCCGCAAGAGCAGGAGATATCCTTCTCATGCAACCCCGAATCCGAATCGCCTGTGCTTACGGATAAATATATGCCAGACACACCGCCCACTTGGATGGAATGTGATCCCCTATTTATGGATAACGAGAACTTTGGCTTCGATCCTGCGATGAAAGAATGTTCCGAGATGAGAAATTCACTTAAAGCCAGCAAAGAAAGGGGGAAAGTGAAGAATTATGCCAGGGCAGGCGTGATTATCAACCCCACTGACTCCTTCGAGGACCTCGCAGAGGCCACCTAGATGCACAACGCGTGATCTACCGTGGAAGTTGACCGACTCGACGCGTTCTTCTGCCTCAGTGATTTTATAATGGAAAGTTTGATGAGAAGCTAATTAGGAGTTTGTCTGGGACGGATTTTCTACCTATTTTTTCCGGCTCCCATGTTTGTGGAGGTCGTCTGTCAGGTGTTCTTACTTTCTTATCACGTTTCTGTGTCGGTGATTGTATCTGATGATAATGCTGCTTACTTCAATGCTGAATCTCGATGTTCGCCTGCTATCCAGCGCAACATCCGCATTGTTTGATTTTCTGTCGTAGTTCAAAAATTGATGGAAGTTAGTCAAATCTTGTAAACATCGCTAGCCATATATCAATGGGAAGCGTGGAGAGCGTTTGGTGGATGTCATAGAAATATCCTTTTTGAGCGTGCTCATACCCCCTCATCTGTTCAATGAACTGTCCCTAGCTCATCAGCTATGAATCCAGTGGATGATGTGGTCTTTCCGGTCACTCCCCATTTGTCTCGGAGGACCATTAGCGTAGACCAGAGGACTGAAGGCATATAAAGTCAGCCCTCCTCCCACTTTGCTGTACCCGTCTTCACTTCCACACTAGATAGTGAAGGAAACATCCTGCGTGTTGTCCTTCGGGAACAAAGTAGCTACGCATCCTGTTGCGTTCAAATTTCGACTTCTCTTCCATTTCCAAAGCCGGCTATTCTCTACCACTGTTATCCACAGCTCCCAATAGCGGGAAAAAAATATTGTCAAATTCCGGTCCTTTTTGAATCGTTGTATATTCCAACAGTGCATGCACTAGACATACACCCTCTCTAACTGGACCAATATTTTTCCAGCGGGTAGTTGGCGTACATTAATTCTAAACGGGAATAGCGGACCTTCCTCAAAATACAATTTCAATCCTGTATTTTATTCGCGCTTCATTCCGTCGCGATCAAATGGAATTAATCTCCACCCGGTTTCTTGCTCAGTGGTCGATCCGTTTTCCACATCAGAGCCAAGCCGGATCAACCCTTTGATCAGTATCTGTTCCTAATCAGCTATCTTCTCTCACAAGTATCATACATCATAACTTCCTAACAATTCTGCATTTTTGTTCCCGTCCCATTCATCACAGCAACTCCTAGTTAACCTCGCATCAACCCAACGGTCTTTTATACCATCAAAATGGCGGGACTTTCACAAGAAGATCGCAACATTATCAAGAACCATCCTCTAACCAGCTCAGTCAATCATTTACAAGGCGTGCTTCAGGAAGCTGAAAAAATCTATGAGTCACGTCTAATTTCCTATGATGGCGCTGTTGATAGCCTTGACCAACTCTATCGGGGAGCGACTTCGGGACTCCTCTCTGTTTTACAGAAAGAGGGTGCAGCTTGTAACCTTCACTCACGGATAGGTGATGGGAAATTGGAGTCTGATCTAGGACACTTAGTTGAGCGTCTCAAAAAAACAAAAGGAATCTTCAAATACGATGACTACCGGCCTCTAGTACACCTGGTCATCCAAAGGCTCCCAGACAATGAAATCCAGGACGTTGATAAATGGAACATCGACATCTGGAAAGCTGTATTTAACCTCATTGACAACATCCCTCAATCAACTCCTCCGACGAGCATCCCACCCTCCTATGACAGCACGCCAGTCAAATCCACCTCATCATCGCAGAAAGGCTCCGAGCAGACGCGTAAGTTGGGGAATCCAAGAATATTTGAGGAGATATGTGGCTGCACATTTCGAGATGTTGAGGGCTTCTTTGACAAATACTTTGAGGAGAAGGATTGGAGTGACAAAGCAGATACCATCTGTCGACGTGTGTTAGACCCAGACAGCGACAGTAATTGGGCCCAGTTTCCCGATCCTCCTACACAGGACAATGTCCTCACCTGGTGGTTTCGTCTTCAAGAAGACCTTCTCTCGGAATCACGCAGCACCTACTACACCACAGCAAGCAAAGCGGATCTTACTGGTTCGCAGGCGGAACGGCAAGTTGACCTTCTTTTGCGAGCTAGGGGTGGGAGCCCCTTGCAAAACAAACACGACTGGACAGACATCCTGGTGGTTGGCGAGCTCAAAAAACCTAAAGAGAAGATCAGGACCAAAGCCACACTGCTGCAGATCAGCTGCTCTGTACGCGAGGTCTTTGCTGCACAGCCCACTCGGCGGTTCGTCCATGCATTCACTGTCTGTGGGACCAAGATGGAGGCGTGGGTGTTCGACCGCGCGGGGCCCTATAGCTCGGTAATCATCGACGTCTACGCGGACTCGAGACGGTTCTTTCAGGTGCTTGTGGGCTACACCATGATGAGCGACGAGGAGCTGGGACTGGACACCTTTATTGCTAGGGATGAATGGGGCAACAAATCAATAACTGTTAAAGGGCCTGGGAACTCAGTGGAAAAGGTGCTGCAGCTGGGTCAAATGCTTTCCTTTCAGCGTGCCATCGTGTGTCGCGGGACAACATGTTTTCTCGCAAACAATGGACAAGTGGAGGGCGTAGCCAAATTCTCGTGGGTGTCGGACAAGCGGCGACCGGAGGCGGAACTCCTCGAGCTAGCAGGTCAACAAAATGTCCAGGGGGTCGCCAGGATCATTGGCCATAGTACCATCACCAACATCGCCGACATGCGCCGCGACCTGACCTTCGACGACAAGCGCTATGACTTCAAAAGCGCACCCCCAAGCACAGCCTCCTCGTTTCATCAATCTCAGCCGCTGACTGAGCCCTGTCGCTTAGATATACGTCGAAAATCGTCGTCGAGGAAGCGCAGATCCCCGGATAAGGGGATGCAGGCGTCCAAACGATCGCGCTCCATCAATCAACCATCAAGGGACACCCAGGAGGAGAACAAACTAGCTTTCTCCATTCAGTCAGCGCACAGACCAAGCCTCTTCGACAGGAACGGTGAGGAGCCGTACGACAACCGTGTCCTCCGGTGTCTCGTGATCTCACCCGCTGGCCAGCCGATCTATGACTACAGATCACCATTGGAGCTTCTCACAGCGCTGCGCGATGCAATAAAGGCGCACCAGTCTCTTTACCTGGATGGGAACATCCTTCATCGGGATATTTCAGAGAACAATATAATAATAACTGATCCAGGCAAGGCGGACGGTCACTCGGGCATGCTGATCGATTTGGATCTTGCCAAAGAGGTTGGGAGCAGGAGAAGTGGCGCGCGGCACCAGACTGGCACAATGGAATTCATGGCAATTGAGGTGCTGCTTAATATCGACCATACCTATCGGCATGATCTCGAGTCGTTCTTCTATGTGCTTATCTGGCAATGTGCCCGTCATGGTTGGGAAAAATTAAATGAGCTACAGGGACACGGACAGGACCCGCCCAAAGACAGCATGCTGAGAGAATGGTATACTGGAACTTATAAGAAAATTGCAACTTATAAAAGAGGTAACATGGAAGCTGGCGGATTTGAGTATCTTTTGCAGGAGTTTCCGCCGGATTTCGAGTGCATCAAGCATCTTTGCAGGACCATACGAGGTGTACTATTTCCTTATGGGAAGGAAGGACTTATTGTTGGAACACCGCAAGTCCCACAGAGACTATATGATCCTATCATTAAGGCGTATGATGATACAATAGCTCTGATTGAAACTGAATAGGATTAATGATTGCTCTGTTCTGGCAAATAAGTATCATTTATAGAAGCTCAATGCATATGTATATATTCTATATTTGAAGGAGTGGAAATGTTGCAATTTGTTACAACGCAGCTAATAAGTTTGAACACTAAATATCTAGAGGTGGCCGCAGCTCAAAAGGCATTGTTGGTTTCCAGAAGCTTTTTGATTCTGAGAAAATGCCACTGCAATAGTATCCTATGAGCACTACAGGGCAGTCGTTCGTTTTGATTCGCAGTTCCTGGTCAATTTCAACGTACCCTGCTGGAGCGGTCAGCCGTAAAGCCACTGCACTCAAATGCTACGTGCTGCATCTCAATCCTCTCTCGCAGAGGCCTGTAGATTGGCATCATAATGCTCTTTACTCCCTGATGTTATCATCTCGAGTATCGCGGCCATTTGCTTCAATATTTCAATCATTTCGGGCACCCAGGTCTACAGATCAAGGTTTGGACGACGGGTGGGGAGTGAATGTGTTCAACAAAGAGTGCCAAGCTTGTTTGTGGAGTTTCATTGCACAGTTGAGCGCATTTCTGAGGTGTTGCTTTCCTAGCCTACTCAGTTGCTGTTGATTTTTCACAGCTTTAATCAATCTAATTGGTCATGGAACATCTCAGACTAAATTTGCGTGTATCATCGGTGATCACCAATTAAAAGTCTTCCTCTACGTTAATGCCAAGGACCTCCAGCGGGCGTTCTCATCTAAACGCAAGCATACATGCTGGACTGTGTGGTTAAAACACCACAAGATGAAGTGTCCTTTCATCAACGATCTTAGCCACCTCCTGCCTGATATCGAGTTTCTAGAGCTATTGTTCACTGGAAGCCATAGCTATTTCTTCAAAGTACGACTTAACCGCAAAATATATGCTCTCAAATTGGTACCTTAGCGGCATTCCTTTGCTTAAACCCTTGCTTATAATAATGATATCCTTAGTACACCCTCAACCTGACTGGCCGGAATCACGGTTCGAAAGAAATGCATGGGAGAAAGACCCCTTCATCGTTGAATGTCAAGTGTATGATTACTTGATTGAAAACAATCTAAGCGGAGTGGTTGGGTCTTGTTGCCATGGCTGGTTCAAGCTTGATAAAGCCCAGGAACAAAGCTTGGAATGGAAGCTAGAATGGCAGCGGAGAATAAATACAGCTGAAGACTCTATTGTGGACTATTGCTCGAATACATTGATGGGTGTACCATCGACAAGGCTAGAGTTACTCCCAAATGATGGCCGTGCATTTCTTGTTGATTTCAGCTCTGCAAAGTTATGGCCTCACAGTTCCTTTATGATACACAAAAGAGAAGACTTCCTATGCTACACTCAAAATGAGAAATGCAAACTTGAACTACTTTTGTTTCGCCTTCAAAAGGTAAAGCTCTTCCCCCCTTGATTCATGCGAGATTTTAGCTTATGGAAACCAGTTAAAACGGCACCAAGGCATGACATTCAGCACAACTGAAAGTGAGGAACAAGCATACGGTCGCCCGGTGTGTTCCTGGGCAAATGCAAATTACGCGGTTGTTGAGTAAGAAGTCTTTTGCAGGAGATATCTATGTATGGTAATCCAGTATCAGCGTCCATTAAAAACACATTACCAGGTCAGACACAGATATCACAAGTGGCGGAATGCTGCAAGATCCCAGCTTCATATTAGGATCCTACACAAATAAAGCACATAGACCACACGGGCGGTAACAACCCCAGCACAGTATGAACCAACAATCTCAACAACTTGGCATGAACAGGGACACTCTGATTATCCGACTCTCCCCACCCCTTGCATTCATTATCCTCATTTTCGACGTGACTGGCTGGGCGGTAAGCAAGAAAGCCCACTGGATATGGAAATAAATGCTTACCAGTAACGAAATGTTACGCGCCGCATCGCGATCCCCTTTCTCAGAAGCCTGTAGATCAGGACCATACTGTTCCTGATCCTCTGTTTCAATCGTCTCGAGTATCGCAAACATTCCTTTGAGTATTTCCATCATTTCGAGCATCTGGCTATGTATCTCCATGATTTCTTTTGGCTGAACCCTATTTTCCGTGCCCTTGATGCCTGAGGAAGTTGCCGAGGGTCTTCGCATGTCATCGTTGGCATTCGGCATTGCGGCGGATTATGAATCCCCTGCTGCAAGTCAGGCGGGTTTCTGGATAGCAACAGGGTTTCTGTTGAGATACGAATTTGAGATTGATTTGCTGAGTATGATTTATGATGGTTTAAGAGCATAAATATAAATATCCGGAGCTGGAGAGGTATACACATACTCCTCTCCAGGGCTAGAAAACAAATATATGGCTAAAAATGAATTGAAGAAAACCCAAAGTAGAGTGACAAAGAAATGAAAGGGAAGAAACAAACAAATCAGCTGCAAACAAAGGAACACAACAAAGAAAATATCATACCAGAGCTGTAGGCAAGGTAGACGTCTACTGGGCTGAGATATAATAGACTGTATCAATGGTGCTCCTGGACCAGAATAAAATATGAGAAGCAAACAAGATCAAACAAGAGAAACCAAAAGCAAACAAGCAAACAAGACAGGTAAAGTGCAGAACAAATCAGAACCAAAATTTAATCAAAATTTAACACATTACACAGATAAGAGATTCTAACCAATTGACTTCACAATTCCGCGTCCACCGCCCCTGCGGGATCCTGTTTTCTGCCTGAAATGCTTGTGGCCCGGTAGAGCAGTCGGTGAAGGCCGTTTGTCCTTCCACTCCGTGTGGAATTCTTTGACCAACTCCTCGCAGCCCGGGATCAAATTGCTCCGTGGTTGCCATGTAGGCATCCATGCAACACGGTACTCCAGAGTTGCCTTGCCCCCTCGCATGCGGATCCGGGAATCCAGTACCTTTTTGACCCGCCACCCCTTCTGAGCCGCACCGACGTGGTCAATCGGGATTAGAGGTCGACTCTGTGGGCGTGGAGAGACACCAGCGTGGGGTCCAGCGGAAATGGTCCCTTTGTCTGCAGTAACAAGAGGGGTTTCTGTTGAGGATCAGCAGGAGACCGCGGGACGGGAATTGAAGGACGCTTACCTGAAACTTCTCGGGGAGCCAGCGAGGCTCTGCTATCGGCCATCCTATCCAGCTCGCCACCTCGATTCATGGATGTCTCGCGGACAGACAGCATTGATGGGTAAGTCGGCGTATCTGCAGACTCGCCTCTCTGCTCATCATCATGGCTAATCACCATCGAGTCATCTACAACAATTGGGTCATCTGAGATGGGGCTGAAGTTAGCAGATCGGTAGAACAGAGCTGAGTGAGCCTGGAGACAGACCTCTACTTTCACCTGCCCGGCATGTGTGAAGCCCAAATCCAGGGACGCTTTCCGCAACTATATCCGCCTTTACCGGTATATCACAGCAGCCACTGGAAGAATCATGAAGATCTGATCTGCAGGGGACTGCGGCATGGTTGGTGATATTTCTCTGGCTCCTGTCAAGCAGTTGACTCCCATCATCCGACGAGATCTTCTCCAGAATCCTGTCAAAATCATTTTGTGGATTGTCGGGCGACTGGGAGTGTTGACTTGCATGAAAGATGGGAGATGGAGCAGATGGAAACAGGCGAGGGGGCAAAGAGTGTCCGAGCTGTTGTGAGGGGTGGGATAGGGAAGAGGAAATGTCAGCGGTGGGAAAGGGTCTCTGTGCTGGGGGATTGGGAGGTGTGGGGATTGTAGCAAGTTTCAGGTTCTGTGGTTTGGAGGGATTCAGGAGATTTGGTGGTCGGTAGAATTGGACATTGTTCATGGTGACCGCGGGCATTCTTTGATCTGTACGGGCGTGTGAGTGCTTTTCTGTGGGATCTGGGGTTCGGGAAGATGTGATTCTCGTTCTGAAATCATTGCTTCTGGGGGGGAAAGCTGGCCATTTTATAGAGCGACAACCAGAGAAGCCCAGCCGCTGGCAGAGTGTGGCGGACGGCCTCCCCCACCCCACTTCATAGATAGACCCAGCATCCTTGGAAAACCTCACTTCCGCAGTCCGGCCAGAAAACCAACCGCCCGCTCAGTGGGAATCAATCACAATGAAACACATGACAATGCAAGCTGTCAAGCCTGGGTTCCTCTGAACCACACCGTCGATCGGTCCAGAGCCACGGAGCATCAGAAGTTTGCCAGGGACCACAAACCCAGAGAGATGCCCAGCGAAACCGCATGTCATTTCGATCCTGGGTATCCATGGATATGAACGCAGCTGGTCATGGGTCCGTAGAGTCGACGGCGAATGGATTGGATGTAATGGATACATGTGGTGGCTCGGGCGCCTTTGGATCATACAGAAAGCTCCACCTCACTGTCACACAACCACTGCACCCTCAGCTCGCTCCACCAGCTGGAGTCACCTCAGCACTCGGCTCACCAATGAATAGAATCATGGGCCTGGCACTGGCCCACAGCGCGAAGCTGGAAAACCATGCCTGAATACAAGGATACACAGTTGACAACTGCAGAACGGTCAATGCGACTATTGAAATCAGCCGGAGGTCCAGTCTCCCAGTCACCTCCTAGCGTACAGCCGTGTTCCTCGTCATCTCACTACGCCGCAGGTGGGGTGTCAGATCCATGTAATCTCGGGTTTCGCCGACCTGAGGGATTTTCGCCATTGGTCAACAGCACAACGAGCATGCGCCGAATGGCAATTCGAACGGAAGAAGAAGGAGGAGGAGGGCGAAGGCAATGCAATGCAAATGAACCACAGCAGTAACAGAGCGAGGGAGCGCAGTTTGAGATGTCTGGGAATGAAGGAACGGCACAAGGTGAGTGAGGAAATGAAGAATTCAAGCGCGACGCACATAGTTGTAATCCTCCAGATTCACATGGCCTGCTGAGGAGACGGAAAAGAGCGGAAAGCGCAGATCTGAGAGATTTGGAAAGGGCAGAGGGATTATTTTTCTCTGGCGAGGAAAATGTGACAGTGAAACAGTTTGGCAATGGAGATCAGCAGATTATTTCTGGCCGGGACAGCGGGCTGAGAAGGTGGGAAGGGGTAAGTGGGGAGGGAGAATGAGAAAGCGGGACGAGAAGGGTGAGACGGAGGAGGAAAATTGGGAAGATGGAAGGTGCGTGGGCGAAAAGGGAAGAGGAGCGACCTTATATAGATATTCCGGCACACGTCGATGATGTAACTCAGGGCGGCGAGGTCAGGGCGCGCCAAACCCGAAGGGGTGACGGCAGGGCCCAGTGGGCCAATGGGCGGCGTCCGCGACGGCAGGCCAGGCCCGTTCCAGAAGGCGAGGGCCGCATGCGGCCGCGTACTCACCGTCCGATTCTTTACTTTTTTATTTAGTTTTATTAATCTGCATGAAAGATATTACAAAGCAGCTCTGCTGTGTGTGTTGATTTGAACTCTGTTGTATAGTTGAAGATAGACAATGATCATCACTGTGAAAATTTGTCTACTGTTTCAAAGATTGCAGTTGTTATACAGAATATTTTCAACAATGTCTATCATTTTCATATCATTTTTCTGACATTACAACAACTCAGTGTTGATTTGAATCTCATATGTATTGATTTTCACAGTTTATTATATCTTTCACTGCATTATATTCTACTTTTTTCTTCTAAAGATCACAGTTAATATATTGATATGAATATACTTGCAGACCTCTTATCTACTTGCAATAGCTTTAATGATGATGTTGATGATGTTGTTGAAAATGAAAATGAATGTGGCAGCTGTAATTTGACTTTGTGTATATAGTATATATATCATTTTTTTCAATGAGATGATGTTGATGCTTCTCTTTTTTGAATCAGATGTCTATTTCAGCAGTATTTAATTGATGTTTACATCAACATTGATAAATAACAGTTGAAATGAATTTATATTCATTAATTTAAAATTCATACTGATCAATATGATGATCTGTGTAATGTTATACAAGCAGATGATATAAACTGTGAGCAGTTTAATCATCATATAATATTATTTGCTTTTCATACAAACAGTGAATATTTTATACATAAACTGTTTCAGTTCTATAGCAATTGTCTTCAACTACAAACATTCAACTCTTTTCATTACATTTACAATTAATTTTAAATGAAAGGAGATTATCTGTGAGTTGCTTTCTGATCAAACTGCAGTGAATCATTCAGATTTGATTGTTTGTGTTTTTGCAATGAAGGTTTTTCATTTTCTTAATGTTCTTAAATTTGAGCAGCTGTTCAGATTGATGTTGATCAGAGTATGAATAATTAAATATTAAAAATATGAACTGCTTCATATGTATTTGTTGATCTGATTAGAGAATTCTGAGTGATTTTTGCAGCTCAAAATGATTGATGAAATTATATCTACAGAGCTGTCAAACACTGCTGAGAATATAGACAAATTGAATGAATTAATTTGTAAATTTATGATTTATGATTCATGTAATGCTGGCGTGGTGAGCCTCTGCTACAAGAATGGCAGATGTATAAAATATTTCCTCAAGGCTTTTCAAGGTGCTACAGTTGAAGAGGGTGGCTATTCTCTATACAGACAGCAGCATGATCCATGTGATTGTTCTTTATTGACAGCTGTAGATTATATAGAATTCACCTATACAAGTCACGTGCAGCCGTTCGCGTTTTCAAGCTGGATAAGCGAGCGCAAGCGAGCGATTGCGGCTTGTAAATATATTTAAAATAATTTAATATCATAATTTATTTAAATTACATTTTTAAAGTATAAATAATACACAGTTATTACAAAAATAATATTTTAAAATATATATTATTATATAAAATTCTATGAGTAAATAATAAAATAAGAATTTTTAAATAAAATTTTATATTCTATTAAAAATATTTAAAATCTATAAAATATTTAATTTTAATATAGAAATAATCAATATTTATAAATATATTTATAAATATAGACTGTGTATTTTATTTTAAAATAGTATTTTAAAAAGTTTAATAAATTAATAATTCTATATTTTTTTTCTCATAAAAATATAATATAATATAATATATATCTATAAATTATTGTTCTCTTTTTTAGAATAGTTTTGAATGAATATTCATTGAGATATTAACATTTGAAGTTGACTGTAATTGATTTACAAAGGCGAGCGTTGGGTGGAAACGAGCGTTAGGTGGTTGATTACGTTACCTATCTCCCCCTGGGAATTAAAACCAACATTGTACCCCCAAGGTTTGTACAGTATGATGATGATGATGATGATGATGATGATGATGATGAATATAGATGGATTTAGATGGATTGGCTCTCTAGAATCTGTCAAAACTGAGAATCGAAGGTGTAGTACTTTTTCAAGTAACTGATTATGAAAGTGTTTATTTCTTGATACACTGCCAAATGTCTATAGATAAGAGTACAAAAAGATATCAAGAAACAATAAAGGATGAAGACGAGAAGAGGAGAAAAGTCGAAAATCAGAAGTATCCTTTTACCTTTCAACAACGCCGAACAAAATGGAGGCCAAGCGAGAGAGCGAGATAGAGAAGATAGGCATGCCACGGGGAATGATGGAAGAGATAGACCCCCAAAATAATCGTGAATGAGGCTATCAAAATAAAAAGAGCAAAAGAAAAATGCAACGGCGTTGGAAAAATGTGGATTAAACGGTGTGCCATTAGCTTTTTGGGCGAATATCGACCGAGGGAGCCTCAACAGGAAAAACAATCGAAAAGGAAAATATCGAAAAGAGAAACGTGAAGAGAGTATATCTGTATATTATACAGAAATAGGTGGAAAGGAAAATATACCATAGAAAAAGGACGCGGGTGAGTGAAACAAAAAGGAGCTTAGAATAAAAAGATGAAAGCAGGAAGAAGTGGTTTGCGATGCCAAACGCAAAAATAGAAATCCGAAGATGTAACTAATGCCCACAATGAAAGGATGAGATAAGTGAAATGGAGGACGGGAAGGAGAATAACGGGCAGAGTCGAAATTGTGGTCTAACGAAGGTGTGTGATGTAACATAGGGAAGTAAGTAAATCGATAGCCAATGTAGCTAAGATAAGGGGGAGGGAACGAGTGGTGAAACAAACGAGGTAGAGCGAAAGAATAAAATAAGAATAAAAGACTCTACAACCCACACGCCATGCTTATGCAAATGCTGTGCTGGACTTTTTATTTATTCTCTTTTTTTTTTTTTTTTTTTTTTTTTTTTTTTTTCATTTTGACAAACAGAAAAATTTGCCGGGCCCAAACGCGCATTCCGGTGCCGCGCAAGTCGGGCTCGAGGGCGACGTCTCTGGTGAGATTGTCGAATTGAATATGACTGTAGGCTCAGCCAAAAGTTATTAAAATTAAAACTGGCTGCTGATGGAGACTGAAAATGGCAAACCTGCAAGACATAGCGGGTCAAGTGGTGAATATGGTAGACTAGAACGTATCTTCAGTACTCCCAATTTTGTTCGTGTGTTGAACCTTGTTCAAGGAAAGAAGAGTTAGGACTGCGGAGCAGCTGGGCTTGGGGGAGCGTTATTATTATTGGGTGACTGCCTTGATTGTCTCGAAGTAGATCGTCGACCGCGACTCGGCGGGCCCGAATGGGAAGGGCTATGGGGGAAATCAGGTGCCAAGTCTGGATTTTGACTTGGAGGAACACGAGTGGAATATGGGTAGTCGCTGATTACCGGGTCATCTTCTCTTGTATCGGGATGGACTTCAACTCCCTGATGCTGCCCGAGACCCGAATGTCGACTGGAGGGCGAAAGCTTGAAAGCGTCAGCCTCTCCTGGACTTCGTCCCACAGGCGACCAACCTCCGATACTACCGGCAACTACACCTGCCATCACCGCTGCTGGCCTCAGATTTGAGTTGGATCGCGACCGGCTGCTGCGAGAGCGTGATTCCGGAGTCCCCGTGGCCAGCGATGGAAACGCGTCTTGGGCTCCGTCGACCGGTGTCTGTGGCATAGAGCTATCCCGCGACCTTGAACCACTCCTGGACCTTGGGATCAAGTGTTCCGGATGCCTTAGCTTGTGCTTTAAGTGATTAAGTCGTCCTCCACGGACGGTTTTGAGGAATGCCAGCTGATCTTTGATTTCCTGTAGAGCAGGGTTCCACTCGAAGCGATCCTCGTCTGAGACGACAACTTGTGGACTTGTCTTCTTGCGAGCCCATCTCTGAGGGATTAATTTCTGGATGAACTCGTCCGGTATCAGTCGAATAACAACAGCCATGGGCATCGACAAGAGGCCTAGGATGATAGAGACGGCCCATTCGACACCATTCAGGGGCTTTGTATGGAATGCTTCGCCACCAACGAAGATGATAAGGACCTGACCAGCGACGATAACAAACTGAATGGCGATGAACCATGCATTGTGAAGTATTCCTTCAAATATATTGAAACCATTATCAATACGTCGCGAACTATGAAAATAAAAAAAAAAAATAAAAAAAAATAAATATTTTTATTAGTATTCCATATTAATTTGAGGAGGTGCCGCAGTGATGGGTTCCTTACTTGTATTGGTTGAATATCTGCATAAAAACGAAGGTGTTGAAAATAAGGGCTTTGAAGCGACCCATTTCTTTCTCGACATTCCTTCCGGTAAAGTGGTAATTAAGAATATTTTCCCCTGCGAAATTGAGAATGAATATAACGACAAGCTGATAGATCGACTGTCCTATTATCATTTTCCACATGGTTATCGTGATTAATGGAGCGGATTTGGGTTCCGGTTTCCGGTCAAGAATGGTATCGGTTGGGGGATCGGTTGCTGGACAAAGAGTTAGCTATCCAATTTCATCATCTTTGGAAGTCGTAAATTCAGTTGGGTTTTTTTTTTTTTTTTTTTTTTTGGGGGGGGGGGATTACCTAGAGCCAGCGCAGCGAATGAGTCCATGATGAGATTGACCCATAGCAGCTGAACAGCTGTAAGAACCGATTCCTCATCGTCATCGGCTACGGCGGAGACAAAGGTGACAAGAACGGCTGTGATGTTGACCGTGATTTGAAACTAAGGGAACCCAACATTAGAAAGGCCACATACGTAGTTAGCAGGAAATATTCACCTGTAAAAATTTCTTTACGGCATCATTAACTGTTCTCCCCCAAGCCATGGCCTTCACAATAGATGTGAAATTGTCATCCATAAGTATTATAGCAGAAGCCTCTTTAGCAACTTCAGTGCCAGCAATGCCCATAGAGAAACCTACATCGGCTGCTTTCAGCGCTGGAGCATCGTTAGTACCATCGCCAGTGACAGCTACGGTCTCGCCCAGCCTTTTCAACTGAGAAACCAATTTCTTTTTATCTTCTGGGCTGGATCGCGCGAGGACCTGCAATCTTGGTATGACCTGGCTCATTTGCTGGGAACGAAGGGTCCGGAATACGGGGCCTTCCATTGCAATTCCGCCGGCCGTAAATATGCCACACTCTTGGGCTATAGCTTTAGCAGTTGTTAAATTATCGCCGGTAACCATCCTGACGAACACTCCAGCTTTTTGACATTGAATGACGGAATCTGTAACACCTGGACGCAGAGGATCTTGAATGCCCACAACACCTAGAAAAACCATTTCTTTGAAAATTGATTCAAACACCGCCAAGCTACGATCGTATTCTTGGGTGGGAGCGCCGCGAGGGGGCCACTGTTCATAATCTCGGTAGACCAGAGCAATTGTGCGTAATGATCTTGATGCATAACTATCCACAATATTGTTGAGAGTAGTCCTGTTGCTGTCCGTGAGAGGAGCCTCGGCTAACTCGCCAGCCGGGTCGAGAACAATTTTTGTGCATTTTGCAATGAGAATCTCGGAAGCGCCCTTAACAAGTAACCTGAATTTGCCCTCAGAGAGTTTCATGACGACACCCATGCATTTTCTACCAGAGTCAAACGGAATAAGTTGAACGATCGTTGCGTTGGATCTTTCTTCGCTAAGAGATCCCAAGGCAAGATAATCTCGAGCAAAGTTGAGGAGTGCTGTTTCAGTTTTAGACCCAATAAATGTTGTAACTCCATCTTCATCACCCTCGAATGCGGTCGAGTTCAATACAATAGATTGTTTCAAAAGATCCTTGACTGAGGATGATAACGTAGAAATGCATTCTGTCGGCGAAACGTCGCTCGTTTCCGGAGGATTTTGACTGAGGTTATTTTGATCAGAGGTGTCTTGGCTAGCTCTATCACCAAAGCGAGAAGCAGTTCCTATTGTGCCAGCGATAATAGTCATTTTGTTCTGGGTGAGTGTACCCGTTTTATCCGAGCAAATAGTGGTCGCATTACCCATGGTCTCGCAAGCCCTTAATAGACGCACCAAGTTGTTGTCCTTCAACATTCTGTTAGTGGCGAACGAAAGCGCTAGTGTAACGGCGAGTGGTAATCCCTCTGGGACTGCAACGACAATGATAGTGACAGCAACAATAAAAATCTGAAGGAAATTTTGACCTTTTGCAGTAGCGCCTGGAATATTTTTCAAACTCGCCAAAAATTTGATGAATAAAACCACGAAGAGCAATAGACCCGCTGCAAGACCAAGCTTTGCTATATAAGTAGCAAGAATGTTAAGCTTCGTCTGTAAAGGAGTTGTCTCTCCCTCGTCTTGGAGCGACATCAGGGTTTTTCCATAGCTGGAATTAATACCCGTAGAAGTGACAAGGAAGGTGCCAACACCCTGAGAAACTTTAGCGCCTGAGAGGATAAACGGGTCGATTTTCGAAAGACTTTCATGGTTCTCAATTGCTTGATATGCTTCCATCCCGGGGACTTTCCGCAAAAGATCGGATTCACCGGTTGCGGAAGATTCATCACATTTCACATTATGGCCGTCAATAAATACGCCATCAACGGGAACCATGTCGCCAGGCTCAAGATGCATCACATCCCCAGCAAGAATATCATAAACAGATATTTCCACGGATTTTCCAGATCGCATAACCTTGACCATCCGGTCATCCTTTTTCTTATTGAGCCTCACAAACTGCCGTTCCTTTTGCCAGTCGTTAGCTGCACCGACAGCAACCACAACTACAATAGCAACGATGATAGCCACTCCCTCAACCCACTGTATCCTGGGTTCGCCCTCTTCCGCTGTCAAGGACTGGTATATTCCAAGTGAGAGAGATATCGCGGCTGCGATAGAGAGTAGTATCAACACCTTGTCATTGTAGGCAATCCAAGCGAGTTCCCAGAATGATTTAGCTTTCTTCGCTGGCAGTCGATTGTCACTGAAGACCAGTTTTCGGTCGACGTATCTGCGCTCTTTGGCATGTTTTTCATCGGTGTCCACTTTCAAGCTCATAACTCGGGGGCGCAACTTTAGATCCTGCGTATCAAGGCTTCTGCCGCCCTGCTTGGTTGCCTCCTCAAAGCTGACCTTCCCCTCCAAAACCATTTCGTCGAGACTGAGGCCGGTCTGGCAATTTGATCGCAACCCCTTTTCAAGCCCTGCGAGTCCACCTAGAGCGTAGAATGCAGATAGACTTTTGGGATTCAGCATTTTGTTTAATTGGCCTGGGCTAAATGCGAATTTATTGTTTTCGACTACAAAATCATCCTCCGTGCCGGGATCCGGCTTTAGTGCATTGGGGTCTTTCGTAATATCATGTGCATCGCGATCACCATCTCGAGACGGGCGATCTTGAGCCGAAGGTGCAGACGCAACACATGTGTCACTCCAAATAGAACCAGGAGAATTGTTTACCTCTTCCGAATCTAGAGAGTTCCCCCGTGATCGAGTCCCAGGAACAGCTAAGAAGTTATGGGATTGGCTTTCGGGCCATTTTGCAGCTGGCGACGAGACGTTATGGGGCGACGTTGGGCGGCTTCCCTTATCCCTTCCCTCAAAAGAATTGACAGAGCGCAGCTCAGCAGTGGGCGTGGTTTCGTCGTGGAGTCTGGAGCCTTCATCTGAATTTTCGGTGGAAATTCGCGGTGGAGGCGGTATTCCATCTTGAGGTCCATGGAGTTGGGATGGCTCTCCAACAGCACTCACGGCGGAAGTATCTATTGTAATGGTAGGCGCACGCTCACGCCGTAGAGGAGGGCCTGCAGGAGGGGAGGAGCCATCATCTCCTGGCGGTAGTGACATGATTGTTACGTGATATGTGTGGCAGGCTGAAGAGGTTAGCGTAGGGGGTCGAGTCGAGAAGTAACGGACAACCTGCCAAAGAGATGGTTTATTATATCACCGCAGCTTTGGAGCGTCGCATGGTCAAGCTGAAGGAAGCTAGCGAATGGACTAACGCGTGGAAAGCCCAAAAGATACGGAAGGGGGGGGGGAAGAGTGTGGAAAACAGATCCTGCTGGTATCAAGGAATCAAGGTCGTCAACTGCAATCGGGAAGGGCTAGGGATATTTTCACACGAACGTCGAAACTGTCCTCTATTCCCGGGGTGCGACTTTCGCCACCAGCTTTGGCACAATATCTGGAAAACCCCGGCAGCAAAATACATATATGACCGAGCAATGGCGTAATTCAAATGCCCTGTAGGAAGGAGGCCCTAGGAGGACGGTGGTCAACACGGTGGTCAACACTCGGCCAATGCGGTGGAAGCCGATAGGTTGGAAGACGACAATGTTGGATATCTGGCCATCAAAGGGTATTAATCGAAGCGGCCAAGCTCTGGGGCCAGGAAGAGGGATAGGAATATGGCACAGGGAGGGAGTTGAACAAAGCCCAAGGTTCTGCTGGGGGGAGGAAGAGAGTCGGTCTCACGTCGGAAGAACGGACATCTAGCGGGCTCGCCCTTGTTTAGCGAACTAACCAAGTGTACTCTTTCTTGGCTGTGCCTTGGGATGGGTTTTCGCAACAAAGGAAGGGTACCCCGGGAACATCTGGTCCCTTGGAGAATGGTCTACGGGGCAATGCCAGGTTCAATTGCAATTGCTTTGACGACTCTCTACGCTCTGTCGGGACATTGTTGGTGACTGTCAGACGTGTCAGTCCACAACGACAGATTTTATGTCTACAAGCATCATTCCCCTGAATAGCTTGACCCCATGCATGAAGACGCCCAATTGCACTCAGAACATCAAAGACTTATTTTGAAAATTTCACACACAGAGTCCCCCGGCGATCAGTTCACGGAGGCTATCAACATCCGGATCTTAAAGCCCAACGCTACATGTCATATCATGTTAATTCTCTCCCGAATCCCATAGAAAGGGATCTTTGCCATCCGCAAGCGAAACCTTCTCTTGCCCCGTGTTTGTTACTTTTTTTTTTTTTCTTTTTTTTTTTTTTTTTTCATTTTTCCATTTTTTCAATTTTTTTCTCCCTCGAAACCGGCAAAATCCGCCCAGGTTTGGCAAATCGGAGGAAGGCGCAGCAGCAGCATATGTCGCCGCCAGGATCAGAGTTTCAGCGGCCTTGGGAGGTAGCAAATCAGCGGCGCGGATTGCCTGCACTGCCTCACCGCATTCATTGGTGCGAAGACGGGCGGCCCAAGAGATTGGGTAGGAGATTTCCTACTCGAACGCATCGTTGGTGGCTCTTCGTCAACGTGGTCGTGGTCACGCCACGCTTGACATCATGGGCAGGGAAGCATCACAAAACTCTTGAACAGTGAAAGCCTGAACCATCTTGCGCTGTTGAAGCTGTTAATTGTTGAAAGAGTTGTTGAGATGGACCGAAAATCCAGTTGCAATCCCAAGCTACTGTCCAGATACATGCAGAAGTGCAGAAGGGTCCTGAAAGGGGAGAAAGAGGATTAACGTCGAGCTATGTGGACCGTCTTCTTGACCAGTGAGAGTGCCTGGCCAGTGGGCATCCCGGTTTCTTAGTCTTATTCCTCAGGGATCAATGATTTATTCTGGAACGTCTTCCGTGCAAGGGCTAGCCATGAACACCCTGATTTTTTCGGTTTCTATCATCATCATTGTTGCGGAGTCATTTTTATTCCAACAGAAATTTTGAAATGACGAGGGGTATTTAGGCATTTAACCATTACGCGGCGTACGCATTTATACTCCTTCACAATCATATTACGGCTTGGCGACTCACGCGTTTCCTTGATCACTTGCCACTTCGGTGATGATGCGAGCTCGTAGTTGATGGCCTGGATCCCCGACCTCGTCCACATCAACATGACAGACTACGATCCATCCTCAGCAACAAGGCCTCGCGCAGCACCACAGCTTAGGAGATTTCAACCTATGTCCCTTGCTCGTGCTTTGTCTTCCCCCCAACAGGTCACATCCCGCCAACCAATCCATCATGCTCAGTCCTAACTATCCCAATTCAATGCCAGCGGTATGCAATGATTTGAGATGCTGACGATACCCGTGGGTTCACTCTCTGATCTTTGTCCGACAGCACAACTACCATGGTTTAAAGGGAGAAACCAAGATGCATTGGGATCAACTCACACAAGTAAAATATATGAATCAATCCATGTTGTTAACAGCTTTCTTTTCTTTGATAACAAAAGGCTCGCCTAGCCACACCACATGCTTGTTCCCATGTCAGATTGATTGCATCTAAAAATTTGAGAATAATGAACATCAACCAGCAATTTCTATGATGCCTGCTTTGACACCGCGATGCTTAATTAATTACCTCCCTCTCTGGAGAGTGTCACAGAATACGCTACTTACAACTGTTGCACACACACACACACACACACACACACACATCCCCACCGCGTGTGTGTTTAACCACTCATCATCTAAGAATAAAGGAGCACATGCACAGGAACAAATGCAGGGACAATAGCTTTTATCAGATCATCAACAAAAAATCCAAACTAGCACATCCAACTCGGACCCCCCCATGTCAACCTTCGTGCTACTTCCAACTTGAGATCTCAAACCCTTTGATACATATCATGCACTCACATACAGGATGCTACTCTCCAGGTGGCAGCAGATTACACAGCTCTATTTTATTATTCACTTTCCTATTCCACCACATGCAATAATAGCAATGTGCAACTTAGCCCGATGCTATTACTTCCGAAAAGCCTGTGTATCGAAGTTAGGCCTTTAACATACCAGGCTCGTCTGATGGCCAGTCCCCGACGGGATTTTTTTCTTCTTCTTTTTGGGGATTGCTCCTTGGTTGGGAAGGTAGGGTGGAGAAAAGAGGGGCGCGGGAATTATTTTTTTTCAACTGGAAAAATCTGTGCGCCAGATATCTCAAGAGCCGAGGTCAAGTGCTGGTCATGGTGGCTGTGTATCTATCAAGAAGCACAGCCCATTATTAAATGGGTCCAAAATTCGATAATCCGGCGTCAACCTAGCTTCTGAGGATTCATGTCTGTGGCGCGTTGGGTGTCTAGGAAGGAAATGTCCAAGCTTGATCCGATATAATCCTCAGATGAAACCCAATTAGGGTAATTCCGCGCATGACAATTTTTTCACACCACACTTTTTCGGCCGCAGAAGCTTTATTCGGGAAACCTGCCAAATGAGAGAAGGGTCGGGGACGAGGCGAAATTCACTCCACCGAATCTTTACGGCAGAAACCCCAGAGAAAGAGAATTGCATGAGCCGTTTAAAGTGGTAAGCTTGAAACGTATTCGATCTATTTGATTGGAAAGCGTTTAGTGGCTTCATACGGATTTTGCCTCTCATTCAGCTTATCGCCGCGGATGAAAACCTATCGCATTCTCCCAGCAATATGTAGACATGCCGACGCAAGTCATTGACAGCATAGCTAGTGGTATATCCACTACCCCACCGACATACTCGATCTTCGTCGCTGAGGCATTTTCGATATCGTGCCGTGCACAGCATGAGCATAGGGGTTGCACTCTGGCATTGAAGATGGGTCTCCAGGTGAACGAAGTTGTACTTAGCTCATTTTCCGCGGGGTCTGAATAGAAGAAGAAAAAGTCACTCATGATATCTTAAAAAAAAAAAAAAAAAAAATTCTGTTTCACAAGCGGAGATATTGGGAGTTTCGTGTTGTTGGATTCAGTCACTTGCCCATGGCTCTGGGTGCCTCTTGCTTTCACATCGAGTAAGATTCGCACCGCTGGTGAGATTGAGCTTTTTGTTCATTACTCCAGGAGTCTGCTCATTGCGTTTCGGCTTGTTGGCTGTCGTGATGGGTTTAGGCATAGGACGTTCATTCAAGCCAAAGGTATCCAATCAAAAAGCGCCAGCTTGTCGAAGAAATATCCGGTAAGTAGTGGATGCAGAACTAAGAAACATGATATCTTTGAACATATTCCTGCTGCCAGACAACAACGCCCATGGGTATATGTTCCCATCCTTAAATCCACCATCGGAATGCTCACCACCATGTTTACTCTACTGGCTTCGGGTACCGTTCTCCCTGCGCTGGCTATGTACGCCTTCATTGACTACGGACATATTTCCAGGGTTGGATCATCCTTGCCGTACTCCCTGCCGTTATCACTTTGGATACTGGCAAGAATTTCAGGCATGTCTCGAGATTCAGTTTCTCAATATGGCAGAACAGAGCCTGCTGGCTAGGCTACGTAGCACCCGGCAAATGCCCGCATCTTGTCTATAATCCCATACCTTTATCCCTTAATTTAAAGGTGATATTGGAGCTTCACACTGTTGCACCGCCCACTGGTGGATTCAGCCACACAGTTACGTAGGGTGGAACGTGCAGATAGATGTTGTTGAGCAGCACTCTATTGCCCTTGTTGTTAAAGGGAGTATTAATGGGCGTACCATGCACCTCTCGATTCTAGGCATTTCCAACAGTTGAAGGCTAAATTATAGTAATCCCAGTCAAAGCCTTTGGTTGTTGATTTTGTCCACGGGTGGGAGAATTCCGTCCGAGCAATGTGGACTTACCAAGCATCATGTCGATTTGGGAAGACCTCTGGGATGAGTAAGACTTCAGATATATATTTGTTACGGTATCATATATTTCCGTGTTTCTAACAGCTAACTCGATCATAACCTACGGATTGCCGTCCGGTGATGTCATCGATCTAAAGATATCATCGCCCGAACAATTAATAAGAAAACAGACACAACCTCCCAGATATTACCTTCAAAATAAACCAGCCCCAAAATTGAACATATCCCACATATAAGAAGGTCTGAAGAGATGTCCAGCCCCTCCGACAACCCTGTAACTCTCCACGGCTTCACCGCCGTCCCCGCCTCCGCCTCCGCCCTCCTCACTAGGACTCCCGAATACCCCGCGCCCACTGCCTCCGCCCCGCCGCTCTCCGTCTCCGATACCCCAATTCCCAACACGCCTCTAGCTAAACGAATCCAGGCATACGCCCTCGAGCACCTCCCCACTGCGACCTACAACCATAGCAGTCGCGTCTACCACTTCGGCCTAGCCATAAAACGCTGGCGATTTCCCAGCTGGTCGTTCAGCGATGAGACATACTTTCTAGCTTGCATGCTGCATGATATTGGGACGACGGAGGAGAATCTGCGGAAGACGAGGTTGAGCTTTGAGTTCTATGGGGGCATGCTGGCGATGGAGGTGTTGAGGAAAGCCGGGGGAACTGAGCGGGGGGACAAGGACCTGGTGGCGCCGGTGGAGCAGGTTGAGAGTGTGGTGGAAGCCATTATTCGACATCAAGATCTTTGCGAGGTCGGGAATATTACGGCGGTGGGGCAGTTGTTGCAACTAGCGACGATTTTCGGTATCGTATTTGGCCTTTTTTTCCCCCTAGCTTTCCTCCATTGGAGAGTTTTTAATTTTTTTTTTTTTTTTTTTTCTCCCTTTTTGGGTGTTTGGTTACTCGGGCGGACGCATTCAATCCCCCCGGTGCTTTTTCTTCTCTACAATAACTCACTCACCCCTTGACTGATGTTTGCCTCCGGAACTAAAAAATCGAACAGACAACACTGGCACTTATGAGGACCTCGTCATCCATGCACGATCCATAATGTAAATGTGGCGTTTCCCCGATTGAAGTGGGCAGATTGCTTCGCGGCTACCATTCGACAAGAGAATAGCTTGAAGCCGTGGGCGCATACGACGGCGCTGGGGGAAGATGAGTTTCCGGCTAAAGTGCTGGGCAATAAACTTATGGCGAAATATGAATGAGTCAATTTAGCTGAGGATATGATTTCCCAGATAATAATCTCAAGGAACTTTTGTGTTTTATCGGTATTGTAGTATACTGTTAAGGGGTCCGGACAAAGTTGACCAAAGTTGTTCGTGTGGCAGAGGAGACGAAATGTGAATACTTTAAAGGGATTGGTAGAGGTATGCATGTCTACAAGATGAGATAGATGCATTAAATTTGTCGGGTTGAGATCGTTTTTATAACACAATAAACAAGTTTGTTTACGAAAGGCCACCATCCAGGCACCGATGAAGTACATGAATTCCAATCTAACCCATCAAAGAAAAAAGAAAGAGAAAAAAAAAAAAAAAAAAAAAAAAACCACACAAAGCAGAAAAGCCTCTGGCCCCCCAAAGCTTCCTAACCTTGTCTATGACTTGTATTCCCGGCAATGCTCCAAACTAAACAAGTTCCACATCCTGCTGCGGTTTGATTTTCCAGATATCAAGCGAAGCCCCATCCTCCAACTTCTTCTTCAATTTCGAGTCCTTCGCACTCATCATGGCAATGCTCGATAGTGCCAGCGCATCTACCAACTCGCACATGCGCCCAGATGCTATGAAGCTGTTCGTGAGGGATGGCGATGAGGCTATCACTGAGGAAAGCATCATACACTGAGTAAGCACCTCGCGCCCGATCGTATGACCGGCGAAGAAGAGCGCGCTGTGGTATGCTAGGATGACTTCGGGAAGATATGTTGATTTTATGAATTCGAGTTCAGTTGCTTCCGCGTCTGAATATTAGAGATATTTGGTTAGCCTTTTCATAATTGGTTAAACTAGGATCGGTTGAAGCAAAGGCCGAAGCCTTGCCTTACTTACCATCTTTTGGGTACGATAGCCATTCTCCGCAAAGGGGTTCGATACGTTCTGTGATAGTATCTATAGTTACCTGTAAGGTTTTCCGGAACTCCTTCGCCTGTTGCTTATCAGAGAGACTAGAATGAGAAAGTTAGAATGGAAACAATGAAAGGTGACGAAATGTTATATGGTGGAGAGGATTAGACGCTTACTGTTCATATTGATCCATCTGTCCAGCCCAAGTCTCCAAGGAGTCAAACGCGGCGATAAGGTATTCCAAATCACGCATTGTATGCGATTGCAAGTATAACTCTGCTCTGATATTGCTCGATAATGGACGCCGTCTCTGAATGCCCGATTTCCTAGGGCTCTTCGTCGGGCTTGCTTTTACAGGGCTTGGGAGTTCATCGAATCCATTTTCGGAGCCATTTGCCAATATTTCAAATGGTGAGTGACCTAATCCTGTAATGTCTGCAGGCACCATGTTGACCCGAACACGATTAAAAAGTTCGCGGGCCGCAGCAAGACGCCCAGCACCTATATTCATTTCATGCGGCATTACTAATGAATCACATATTAGATTATTGGAGCTTTGAATAAGGATTTCTTACCCATAAACCGTTTGTATAAATGTGTACCTCTCGGGCAAATATTTGGTAGTTGATCATCCGCATAGCGGTGCCATTCCAAACAGCGGATCAGATACTCGTCTTCATGCGAAATGCGCCGGCCAAGGAGATTTTTCTTTATAGGTCCGATTCTGCTTAGACCTTTTGGTTGATGAATAACACTCCTCTTCAGTCGAATCGTAGTGGTTTTATCTTCTTTTGCATCGGCTTGGGAAATTACGAGTCGCCACTGGCACTCAACGATGGCGGAAAGATTGATATTTAGCCTCTTCATTATTGTCACCTGCCTCTCCCGGTCCTCAGGCTCAACAATATCAATCAGCACATTTCCAAGAACCATGTGCGCTGTATCCTCTGGAAGCAGCGATGCATAAAGCGGGATAAGCTCAAGTTTGCCAGCTTTGCGAAGCAGGTTGATATAGCCAATAACATTGACCGAGGCAGTTTCAACAAAACGTGAGTCGGAACGGACATATCCAAGGGATTGTAAAATGAGAAACAAGTGGCTGATGATACGGATGGCATCTTCGTCTCGAGCTGCAATAAGGCAAGCATCATCGGCATTAGCAATGACGGTTTTCGGAACAAGAGTTGCTTTGTTGGATAGGCTGGCAGCTTTTGAAACCGCGTTCGCTTGATGAAAAAAGAACGTATTGTAGTTTTTACTGAGGATGGCCGTTGGATAGTGCGGTAGTGG